TCTCAGTAGAGTAAAAAGCTAACATCGGCAACTTCCACCGTGTGTGGCTGGAGACTTAGTCTCCCTCCCGGCCACCCTGGGATTGCGCTCTGCAATATAATTCATAGCTGCCACTCGCATCGCCCAAGAATTCCGACATTATACTCTCGGCTATTTCCGCTCAAACATTGTCTCCATGCCGGGATTCGACACCCAAGGCTCGGACGGCAACGGCTATCCCACTGAGCGCACAAGCCTCTTGGGCAATAATGCTCGGTCCCGCTCCCAATCCCGCCAACCCCCCCGTGGCCGTCTTTCTCGGCTCCTCTGGTCGCACGGCCACTATCATTGGGTTCACTACCCGTCGGAAGCTGCGCGTTTGACATATGCGACCCTCGCCAGCAATTATGTCAATATACTTCTTATCTTTGTACCCCTGGGCATGGTCTCAGGTAAAGTGGGCTGGTCCCCAACTGCCACCTTCGTCCTTAATTTCCTCGCGATTATTCCACTGGCGTCGCTGTTGAGTTTTGCGACAGAGGAACTGGCTGCAACTATGGGCGAGACTCTGGGTGGATTGTTGAACGCTACATTTGGAAATGCCGTTGAACTTATCGTATGTGATAAGTGTAATCTGCACATCCCAATCCAATTTCCCTGTTGATGGTTACCTCCCTGTCCAGGAAAACGGTCCTCAACTTCTTGCTGACAAAAACGAAATTCCTGCTGAATAGGTCAGCATAGTCGCCTTGAAGGATAACGAGATCCGTGTCGTCCAGGCAAGCATGCTAGGCAGCATTCTCTCCAACATTCTTTTGGTGCTGGGCTGCTGCTTCTTGGTTGGGGGCATCCGCCATCACGAGCAGACTTTCAACTCAACCGTGGCGTCTACCATGTCGTCCCTAATGGCAGTCGCATCTGCGTCACTGATCATCCCAGCTACTCTCTATGCCGCCCTCGCCAGTTCAAAGGCTGACACCCATGGCAACATCCTGCTCCTCTCACACGGCACCGCCATAATCCTGCTGATCCTCTACGTCATGTACCTCTACTTCCAGCTACGTTCACACACAGACCTCTTTGAGAGTGGTAGTGCGGAGAATGCCGACAATGGTACAGTATTGCGGAATGGTGAGACGCGGAACGGGGCAGGGGTTGAAGTAGTAGTGGGAGCAGGAGAGGAGGAAGAGACGCGCATCCTGAACCCCTGGGCTGCAGCCATCGCACTCTGCATCGTCACAGTCGCCGTCTCCATCTGCGCCGAGTTCCTCGTCGGTAGCATCGACAGCATTGTCCAGGCAACACATATCAGTAAGACATTTATCGGTCTCATTCTGATCCCCATTGTGGGTAATGCTGCGGAGCACGTCACAGCCATTGTGGTTGCATATAAGAATAAAATGGACCTGGCTATTGGCGTTGCCATTGGCAGCAGCCTGCAGATTGCGCTGTTTGTTACGCCCTTCTTGGTTATTCTTGGGTGGATTATGGGCAGGGATATGACGCTCCATTTCCACTCGTTTGAGACAGTGACATTCTTTTTGTCGCAGCTTGTTGTGACATTGCTTATTCAGGATGGGAAGTCGAATTATCTGGAGGGGGGACTCTGCCTTGGGATGTACGTGTATTTTTCTATTTTTCTCCCTTAGTTTTTTTTGTCCCTGCTATCTTGTTCCCGATTTACTTTTTATTCTTGAGCATCTGGATCTAAGCTAATGCGAAATCAGGTATATCATTATCGCCCTCGCTTTCTTTGTTTACCCCGACGATGCGCAGGATATCGGTGGTATTCTTGCCAGCATCGCCGGCTTCGCTACTGGATCCATCTCTTCCTAAGGTTACTATCTTCCCCCCACCTCCTTTTTTTCCCCCTTTTTCTTCCTTGATGTGTTGGCCCTCGCTCAGTATTTAGCCCACTGCGCACGGTATCGCAGTATCACAAAGGAAGGAATTTTTACGTATGATTCACTATCGGTTATGGATTTCTGCAGTTTTTTTCACTTTCGACCTATACCCTCGTCTGCTCCTTTTGTCCCAATGCTCTTTAAAATCTCATTTCATCCGGATTGAAACAATGATTCCAGTATATTCGCACCTCTCATCTCGTGTCTTATTCGTTTTCTTTTTGCTTCTCACCCCCTTATTTCTCTTATTCTCTGCGTCAACCTCCTGATCGCGCGGTCGATCATTACCTTATACTAACGGCAACAGCCAACACGAACAGCAATCTTTTGTTCTCTCCCCCTCCATATGACTTCGACCGTGGCACCTCCTCATGTTTTGAAAACCAAAATAAGCCCCTTGAACTGGCCATTTCACTCCCATTGTACGGGTTTATTCGCCCCACCCGCCCCACCCCCTTCCCCCTTTTTCTTTTCGGCGAATGCTGCGCATATATATTTATCTCTCTACTTTATTTGTTTTTTCCTTACGGAGGTTTTTGTAGGACAGACCATACGAGATACTTCCTCCTAGGTAGCTTCTGCTGGCTTTTTTCCTTGGACTTTGTTCACACGATTTCCGTATGGGGCTTATATCCGAA